CCCTCAGACCAGGCTGAGTACTCCCCCCCCAACCTCCCACCCTCAGACTAGGCTGGTGCTCCCTCCCAACCTCCCACCCTCAGACCAGGCTGGTGCGCCCCCCAACCTCCCACCCTCAGACCAGGCTGGTGCTCCCTCCCAACCTCCCACCCTCAGACTAGGCTGGTGCTCCCTCCCAACCTCCCACCCTCAGACCAGGCTGGTGCTCCCTCCCAACCTCCCCCCCTCAGACCAAGCTGGTGCTCCCCCACACCTCCTACCCTCAGACCAGGCTGGTGCTCCCTCCCAACCTCCCACCCTCAGACCAGGCTGGTGCTCCCCCACACCTCCCACCCTCAGACTAGGCTGCTGCTCCCTGGGGACCATGCATCTCTCCTTTGACGGCTGGGGCCATGGTAGTGGGCTGCATATAAGCTCTCAGAGTTGCTCAGATCCACAAGAGGACCTCTGGAAATCCCGCCACTACTCCACATGTCCCACCAGGATGGAGCGGCACAGAGCCAGGGGCCCAGTGGTGAAGAAACTTACCCCAACGCTTCCCTGGGCCAGGAAAAGGGTAGTCGTGTATAAGAAATATCTCTTCAAGGTTTTCTTCACAGATACTCTAGTCACCACACGTCCACAATCCTCTCACTGGAACAGAAACTGCGGATCAGGGTCTCCAGGGAGAAGGGGCACAGGATGCAACGTCCCCTGCATCCTGAGACTCTCCAGGACTCTGCCGAGCCTCTCTTCTTCCTTCTCTGTCCCTGTCTTGTTCTGCTCTGTCTCTCTCTCTTGTCCCTCCAGTTCTGTCTCTTCCTGTCCACTCTGTCTTGTGGTCTCTGCTCTCTCTCTAATCACAGGGTCTTGAGCTTGCAAACACCCACTGAGTCAGAGACGTCAGGGCCCCAAACTGGGGCTTTCCCCCACTTCTTTCTCTCTTCTCCATCCATCTTTGTCCCCTCTCCCACTCTACACACACACACACACACACACACACACACACACACACACACACACACACGGTCTGCCATTTGCAAACACCCACAAAGTCAAGCTCTGCCTGAGTTCTGAGCTGGGGCATTCCTTCTGAAGCTGGGGAAAACCGTATGTCTTCGGGGCTGGTGAAGAGGGGTCTTGCTGAGCCAAAAGCCTCCCTCAGGGAACCGAGCACATAGGCAACACACCCTCCCCAGGCCACTCTAACCCCTTTCCTTTGGAACAGCTCTCTTTAAGGATGGCTCCCCCCACAGGGGAATTCCTGAAGCCAACAGTTGACAAACCCACACACCCTCTGAGGGCTGGGCACCAGATAAAAAGCCCTCCTCAAAGCCAGCCCTCCTGGGGACGGTGTGGGACCCAGCAGGGCAGATCGGCCGCCGCCGCTGTCACCACCTCCTCTGAGATTGATCCTGATCCCAGCACAGGACAGAGGACCTGACCTCCTGCAGCACCTAAGGCTGACTCCTACTGAATGCTGGGGCCTCTGGGGACACCCACTCCAGCTGAGGGCATAGCTCGAGGTGGACCGGCAGAGCACCTGTCCCCATCGCCAGCTCCAGGTCTGCCAAGGTCACCTGCACTGAGTCCCGCACGCACGCACGCACGCAGGGCAGCACTCCGCCGCCGTCATCTGCACCCAAGAAAAACTGGTTTTCTAAGTTTTTCTGGTTTGTTCTCAGCGCACCGCTGAAGGATCTATTTCTGTCTCTCCTTCAGGAGGGTGAGCTTTGCCAATGACTAATCCCAGTCCTGAAGATTGATACCCCTTGTCACCTGCACACGGGACCCAAGCCCAGCAGGGAAGTGAAGAGATAAGCCCTTGCCTGCAGCTGAAGCCCCAGCCTGCCAGGGCCACCCGCCTTTTGCTACCTGCAGAACAACTAAGGGCTGTCATTGCTGCCAGGGCCACCTCTGTCCTCCTGCAGACACTGACATGGGTTCATCACAGTGACCACCTGGGGCCCAGACTGCCCCTCGCAGGGAATTAGTAGTGGCTGCCTCTCTGCAGGCGAGTGGAGCCCCTGGATGGATCTTGGGACCCAAGCCCCTCATGTCTGCCCTGCTGACGCTGTGTGTGGCGCTCTGGCTTCTGGGTACCCCCGGCTGTGGCGTCCAGCACTGGGAGCCCTGTACAGGTAAGGTGGCCACATGGGGACTTGGGTAGGGCCCCTTTACTGGAGAGGAATGGGGTTGGACATGCCACACTGCCTGATACCAGGTCACTGCATATGGTAGGATGCTGGCCTCTTAGAGAGCTGGACGGACGGACGGTGGGGTTATGGGGGACACGGGGACAGAGTAGAGGGGGATGCACAGACAGTCACAATAGACGGTCTCTCTAAGCTGCCAGAGGTGGGAGGGGTTTGGAGTTTCAAAGAGCTAACAGCAGCCGTCCAGGCTTCATGTACTTACCTGCTTGGCTGCCGGGGAAGGCCGAGCACCTGCTTCAGGAATGAAGTCCCCGGCCCTCGGGCTCCTGGCATGGAGACGAGCTATCCAACCTGCACTTAGCAAAGCTCTGGGCCGCCACGGGCCTGGCTCTGTCCCCAGTTGAAAGAGAAACACAGGCCCAGCCCCAAACACACCCACAACCCACACCTGGGTTCAGCCTGGAGCTCCCCAGGGTGGGCTCGCCGCAGGCCTCCTTGTCTTCTAGAGAGGCCACTTGGGAGCACTGGTGACCATGACGGGCTGTCCTAGGGTTCCCAACAAGAGATTCTATTTATCAAGTCACCATTTGTGGAATAAAGAAACGGGACAGTTGGATCTGGTAGCCGGACCTGCTGGGGGATTGCAAGTTGGTGATGGGGACCCCAGGGACAAGAGGTGTTGGTGTGACGAGTGGTTGTGGTTTCATGTGCATACCTCCTCCTTGGTTTCCAGAAGGTGTGAGGCTCCCTCATGCACTGGGCTGTTGTTCTCTGTGACATGTCCAGGAGGTGACCCTGTGGTCCAGGTTTAGAGCACTGACCTGCATGGATGGTGCAATTTACAACCTAACCACACAGAAGTGACTGGCTGTGAGTTCCAGCAATCGCTAGATGATGGGCTGTGAGTGAGAACCTGATACAGGACCACAAGGGGAATCTGAGACAGAACAGAAGCCCCCTGGCCCCTGTATCCTGCTCTCTGGCAGCCATACCTGCAGTGATGGCTTTGAATGTGGAGCTTCGTCAGCTGTACATGGCCAAGTCGATTGTCACCGCACAAATCCCCTGGCTCCAAGTAATGGCATTTGGGTACCAGCCTTTTCCCTTCCTATGCGGGGTCATCCCATGCAGGTGAGCATGTAAGTGTGCCTCGGAAGGACCCTGTACAGGCCTGGCTGGGAGTTGTGAGCATGGCCATGCTTCCGGGGCTGGGATGAGTCACGAACATGTGCTTTCCTGTTCCTTGAGCATGAGGAACCCAGCCGACCTGCACAGTGATAGTAAAGGTTATTTATAAAGGCCGCCCCCTCTCCCCTGGAGGTATGTTTTGAATAGTTCAAAGATGACCCACTTATAAACATGGTGAACCAGGGAGGAAACATAAAAGTCAGGCTGGTATTAGGGAGCTACATCGTAAGAGGCTTGAGAGGCCAGTGAGGGTTTGCCCCGTGTTGAGCATCGAGCAGCTCTGAACGTCTATAAGGGCCACAGATGCATTATTCATTCTGCCTTCCCCTGGCCTGGACTGCTGTCCCCAGCAAGTGGGACGCTGGGGGAAAGCTTCCATGAACATTCACACCCGGCACTCCTGGCTTCAGAGGTGACCTGAGGAGCCCCCCTCTTTGTTCTTGTCAAGTGCTTTTTCGTGCTTAACTTGCAAATGAGGTGACGAGATGGGGGTCTGGTGTCTGGTAGGAAATATCTTGGTCACTATCCACACGGCCATCCCCATGGGGTCTGGCGTTCTGTGTTCTGGGGACTTTCTGAGAAGGGCCGATGGCTTCACTCTCCAGCAGGTGGCCAGTAGTGTGGCTCTCAGGGGCCCCAGGTCACTGGTCTCAGACTCCGAGAAATATAGGCTGGGGTAGGGGTTTGGTCGTAGAGAGGGGACAGTCCAGATACCAGGTGAGGGAACTCCCAGGAGTGTTCTGGCTCCTAGTGGGAGCTGACTTCTCTTCCCTCTCTTCCCCAGGAGGGTCCCCAGGAGAGTGGGAGGGCAGGGACAGGGTGCCACCTGTCTTCACAGCCCTGGAAGGCAGGAAGGCTTGGTGTGGGGCAGGAGCAGAATTCCCAAGGAGCCGGGCAGTGGTGGCGCACACCTTTAATCCCAGTACTCAGGAGGCAGAGCCAGGCAGATCTCTGTGAGTTCGAGGCCAGCCTGGTCTACAGAGCAAGATCCAGGACAGGCACCAAACGACACAGAGAAACCCTGTCTTGAACCCCCCCCCCCAAAAAAAGAAAAGTGCCTGCCCTTTGGTTTCTTTCTCTTTAATACCGCCCCCCCCCCCCCGCCACCTCCAGGCTGTACTCTTCATGGGGACACAGATCTACAGGTTGGGACATTTGAATAAAGTAGTACAGGGGCCTGCTTGGGAGGCTTTGGCTGTGCCATACCCCTGCTGTCCCCTCCTGTCCCTGAACATTCTCAGTCAACCAGGGATGGTGAGACTCGGGGATGCAGAGGTCTCTTGCCAGGGACTAATCCAGCTGCCAGCCACCAGCCACAATACACTGGGGACTCCAGACAGATTCAAGACAGTCCAAGTCCTGGGGCTCATCTGGAAATGCTCTCAGGACACCCCTGACCCTTGCATGAGGCAGGAAAAGGGACACTCAAAGGCCAGGAAGAGAGGTTTATTAGTGGCTGGGCAAGACATGCATTGAAGAAAGCAGAGGAATGCTGGAGAGGTCGGAGTGCTACAGAGCCTTTATAGGAAGCTGTGAGGGGGACACCAGCTGTTGGGGTGTGACATCACAGAGCTGTCACGCTATGCTGGTGCCAAAGCTGATACAGCAGCCAACCCCTACATGTCACTGTGAGGCAAGGAAGGAACTGAGCTCTGGGGCCTCCACAGGACAGACCCATCAGCAGCTGGACTTCTGGCCCAAGGAGAGGCCACAGCAGGCCTGGCGGGAGCAGGCAGGGCGGCAGAGCAGGGACACACTGGAGCAGGGCTTGCAGCAGCTGGGCTGGCAGGAGGAGGCACAGCAGGAGGAGGTGGGCACACAGCAGGCAGGTCTGCACACAGGGCGGCAGAGCAGGGACACGCTGGAGCAGGGCTTGCAGCAGACAGGCTTGCAGCAGACAGGCACACAGCAGGAAGACTGACAGCATGAGGGCTGGCAGCTAGACTGCTGGCAGCATGAGGATCCAGAACAGATGGGTGTGCAGCAGACAGGCTTGCAGCAGACAGGCACACAGCAGGATGGCTGACAGGGGGAGCAGGTGCAACAAGCTGGCTGGCAGCTAGACTGTTGGCAGCATGAGGGTGTGCAGCAGCTGTTGCAGGCAGATTGGCAGCAGGGGCTGGACACACAGCTCACTGGGGTGCAGATGAGGGTCAGGCAGGGGGATGGGGCACAGCAGCTGGGCTGGCAGCAACTGGGCACACAGCAGCTGGGCACACAACAGCTGGGCACACAGCCGTTGGACTGGCAGCAGCTGTTCAAACAACAGCTGGGCACACAGCAGCTGGACTGGCAGCAGCTGGGGGCACAGCAGGTAGGCTCACAGCAGCTCTCTGGGCAGTCGTCCACCTGCCAGGAGGAGTTGGTACAAGCATCGGAGCAGACAGACATGGTGGAGGCGGCCATGCGGGCAGGTCTGGTAGGAGCTATGAGAGTGTGAGTGTGTGGATATAAGGAGCTGGCTGTCAGCTTTTATACCGTCACACAGTGTGTTGTTGGTGATGGGCAGCCCTTCCCAGCAACTCTTTCCTTGTTGGTGTTTGGAGCTGACTGCTGGAGAGCCCTCATCAGCCGGAAGAGGCCACTTGGCTTGTAAACGTCCTGGCTGTGTGTTGTGCTAAGCCAGCCACCTTGGCCGGCTCTACTGATGGGGAGGGGATCCGGGTAGGAGAGAGCAGTGGTCAGGGGCTGGCGCTGGGCTTTCTTGGCTGGGTAGTTGAATCTGTGCTGCTGGGAAGTCCAACCATTTGAGTGCCCCGAGCTGGCCACGTCTGTCCCCTTTCTCTTTTAAGTTTGCCGTCAAGTCCTTGCAAGCGAAGGTGGGGCTGATTCCAATGAGTGGTGAAGCTCTCCTCTCATTTTGACCTGGATGGAGATACTCATCCTGGGGACTCAGTAGCTACGGCTGTCCCCCTGCCCATTGCTACCCTTGCTCTGGTGGTGAAGGGTCTGAGGCAAGGCTGGGGTGGGCCTGTGCCCGAGAAGCAGTTCCTTCTGATAGTGATTGCTGTCAGCACTCCCTGCTCTGGCTTTGATGAAGTTTGACATGCTATGAGGCTGAGGCAGGAGATCCATGCCTGGATGCCCTTGAACTTGTGGAGTCTTGTGCCTCGTCTCATTCTTGAGGGCTCCTTGTAACCCCTGTGTGGTCCCTCAGCAGTGACCCCAGAGCTCTCTGTCCAGGGACCTTGTGAGGAGCTATGGGGGGAGCAGGTCTCAATGGCCACAGTCTCTATTGGGAGGGAGAGTTCAGGCATTCTCTGAAGGACCTCCTCCAGAGGGGTGTTGGAATCCTAGGCAGGCCTGCAGCAGGGAACGCATGCTCGCAAGTCACCGGGGGACTGTGGAACTTGCCATGCACCATACATTGGGGAGGCAGAGGAAACTGGCCAGTCAGGGTAAAACCAGGTCGGGATGAGCAGTCCCCGAGATGATGGTTCCAACTACAGTGTTCTGTGTGAGGTGTATATGGGAGTCTCTTTGTATGAGCTGTGGTCCTGCCAGAGTTCTATCATCAGGCACATGTGTGTAGGATCCTTTTCTCATGACTACTGTGTTTTCAATATGTAGTGTCCCTCCAAAGAGGTGTAGTCCCCCAGCTGAGGGTGCTGGTGGAGGGTGTCAGCTGGGAGGCCCACTGAGAAGCCTTTGAAGGGTATGTTGTTCCTCATCTGCCTCTTTCCTTCCATCTCTCCCCTCCCCCTCCCTGGCCACCATGAGGTGAGAAGCCCATTACCACCGCCTTCTTGTGAGGTACAAGGCTCTCACCTCAGGCCCACGAACAGAGCCGGCCAGAGACTGAATTTAGGAACTTGTGATGCCTCTGAGACCGTGAGGCCAGCTCAGCCACAGCTGCTGACTAGTTCTCTTCCATTTTAGAGACCTCCAGCTGAGTAAAGCCTGATTCTCAATACCAACACAGAAAAGCACTTTAGGATGGGCCAGAGGGGAAGTTACGTATTTATGAATGATTTGCACAGAGACATTGCATTATGAGTGTCCCCAGAGAGTCTGCTGAGGTGTCTACATCATGGCTGTATATGTGATCCTATGGCTGTGTGTGTGTGTGTGTGTGTGTGTGTGTGTGTGTGTGTGTGTGTATGTGTGTGTGTGTGTGTATGCTGAGGCCAGAAGACCACCTTAGGAGTTGTTCCTTATATGATATCCACTTTTATTTATTTATTTTTAATAAAGGGTCTCTCTTTGGCTTATAGCTCACAGATTGAATTAGGTTGGCTGGCCAGGGCGCCGTAAGGATCTGACTGGACTCACCTTCCCAGTGCCAGGATTTTAAAAACATGGGTTGTGGGGATCAATCACCTTAGCTATTGAACCTCTCCCCAGGACACGGTCCTGAAGCTTTCCGTCACCGCCCTGCAGTGTACAGGGTTTAAAGACCAAGCAAAATTTAACACTTAAGCAAAATCTAAAACTTAAGTAAAATACACAAGCTGGCTTATTTCCTCTCCTCTTCCGTTTGTACAGGATTTTTTTAGGGTGGTATATGAAGAGCACTGCTTAGATTTAGGGCCAAACAGGAAGGTAAATCCAGCAACAACAAGCATCCTGGCTCTTAGTAAACACGGCTCATTTCTTGTTTCTGACATCCGTGTCTGACCTGTCTGTAGAGAAACACACATTATCTCTCTAGGCAATTTGGATTTATTAGTTGTTTTGAAGGTGTGCGTGCGTGCGTGCGTGCATGCATGCGTGCGTGCGTGCGAGCGTGCGTGTGTGTGCGTGTACCAGAGGACAACCTCTGTTGTCACTCCCAGGCTCTCTTATCAGCCTGGAGCTCACTAAGTAGCCCAGGCTGGCTAATCAAACGCAGATCTTCATGCTCAAAAGGGAAGCACTTGACCGATGAGCGTCTTCCCAACCATTCTGAAGTTTCTTGGAGGAATGAGAAACTAGATCTCCAGGTGAGGGCTTCTTTCCCATGTCATGCTCCTGAGTTCCCATCTTTCTGTCTGAAGTACTCCCCCATCCCTCCCTCCCCGCCCCACACACCAAGTTGTTTCCACAGCATTTTGTCTCAGCAATGCCATCCAGCTAAAGCAAAGACCTGCAGGCTTTATGTGTTTGTTTATGGATGGGGTTTAACAGAGTGACCGTATCCCTATTGTGACAATGTTCACAGTTTACTCAGACTGCCTGGACCTGAGAGGAGAGGGGAAAGCCACGCCCGGAGGTCAGGTCTACACTGGGGCAGTGAGTGCCCCCTGGGGCACTAAGGTCCTCTCTGGGGGCAGCAGGCTCCTCCCTGGGACACTAAGGTCCTCTCTGGGGACACTTTGCTCTGGTGTAGACGGCCTAGCTCTGACAGTGGTGCTGGTGTCACAGGTGGGCATCAGGGCAGAGCAGCCACTGTTAACTCAGATGTAGGAAGTAGGATAGCCCAGATGAGGAGTCAGGACTGAAGGGGCCCATACATAGCAGGGTGTTCCCTCCTGGACCACGAATTAGGCATAAACCACTCTCAGACGCCTATTTTCACAGAGAGATCCTTTATTAAATGGGGAAGAAAAGTAAAGTGGCCGATTTCTGACTCAGGCAGAAAAAACAGCAGCAAGTGGACCTTGCAGGTGTGATTTTTAAGAGGAAAAAAGGAAGGTCTGTGATAGAATGGGCTCGGATGCGGTGGGATGTTTTAATTGGGCATATTAATTAGGATAGACAAAAGGGGGCTTTGGATTGCTGGACTTCAATATTTTGATAGCCTCAGGAATGAGTCAGGCATAAGAAAGTGTCCCAGTAAGGGACTAGACCTTGGTGGCTAGTTTTAGAGATGTAATCTACAGTTTACAAGGGAGAGGGAAGGGGGATGGACAAGGCCAGCCAGCGCCATGTGAGCTATGCCTGGGCCAGCTAGAGCCCCTTCAGAGACTTGTGTGAAATGTGAGCACAGATCTTCCAGAGGCAGGAAGCCTCTGACTCCTGGGAAGAGAGAGGGTTGGGGTGGGATGGGGGATGAAGGGTGGAGGGGGGTAGGTGGATGGGATTATCTTTCCATTGCTTAGGGTCATCTCAGAGACGTCTTCTGACAGCTGGGAGGTATGAAGGTAAAGTCTTGCAAGACTGGCCGTGGCTGGTTGTGTGTGAGCTTCTTGTGGTAGCTGTAGCAACTCCTGACACATGTTGGTGAGATGCAGGGCCAGGGCCAGGCAGACAAATGGATGGATGGGTCACATCAGCAGTGGGGACCAAGGAGCTGAGGCCTCAGTTGGGCATTCTCCTCTCAGTCCCTTGACATACATCGAGTGATTCGGTGAATAGCCAGCGGGTAGTTCCCACGCGTCCTCCTCTCCATGGAGTGAGGTGAGGGCGTAGCACCTTCCCTTGGTCTGGTGTGCTTGACAAGCTCTTGGATCAGGTTTTTGTGATATGGTTTTAATAGGCCCATGTGCTCATGTGTTTCCAATCCACTCTGAGAGGGTCACGGGGAACTGTTTTACCTTTTGGAGTCGGTCATCAGTCTGTGACAGGTGTTGGCGCTGATGCTGACCTGCACAACACGATGAAGTGTCCCCCTGTCTTGGTGTTGACACTCACTATGGTGCCAAGTGCTGCTGGTGAAGTGGAAGGGATCCAGGGTAAGGTCCAGCCCGCCCACGGCTGCTCCACAGCCTGGAGTTAGTCAGTACAGCAGACTGACCATCATAGCTGCCGGCTACATCTCTCTCTGACCTTGGGGATGGAAGGTAGGACCCCCGGCTTGGCCTCCAGGCTCACAGCTCAAGGAGAGTGTGGCTTATCCCTGCAGAGGAATTCGAGGAAGGAGACCGCAGAGCAGGCAGGCCACAGCTACCTGGATGAAGGCTGTGCATGGAATGCAGGAGACGGAAGAGGAAGGGCAGGTGGGTGCGTGGGCCCTGGAAGCTTCTTGCCCTGAGTTCCCCTGGCAGGGAAAAGAAAAGAGGCAGGTAGGGGGGTGAGGTTGAGGATGAGTGGGCAGTTCAGAGGAGGATGGAGAGTGTGGGGGACCGACAGGGCATCACGGAGGGCGATGGAGGGGAGGCGTCTGCTGGGGGAGATCGTGCAGGAGAAAGCAGCCCGGCTCTGCTTCTTCTCTGTGTTGAAAGCCTGTGGGTTAGCTGCAGGCTAAGCTTAGGAGGTAGCCTCCTGGAGTATGGGGAGATTTGAAGGCCTGTGCTGGTCCCTGGGCTCTGACTTCTCCTAGCACAGGGTGGGCTGCCGGCTCTCACTTGTGAGGGACTGAGCCCACTCTCTTCTGAGGAACCAGGTTCTTGGCAGCTGCCCTCAATGGTCCCTCCAGGGAATGCCCAGCTGGTACCAGACCTTTGGCACCAGACACACTGCCACCCACCCTGAGAGTCTGCTTGTCCTTGCCCGGTGGCTCCTGGGAAAGAGGCTGGCCCAGAGGGGTGGGCAGGGCCTGCCTATGACCAGGATCCTCTATCACAGGTGTGAGAGCGGTGGCCCAGGACAAGGTGGGGAGGGTGGGTCCCCCGCTGCGCTTCCTGTTCCCTCATCAGGACCTGATGCTGATTCCATTAGAGTTCAGAGAGGAAGAATGAGGCATGGCTGAGGTCAAGGAAAGAATTTATTAGGGTTCTGAGGAGGCTTCTAGCTAGAGGGCACCTGGCAGTTTCCCACAGAGAAGCCCACTGACACCCAGACTATGGAGCAGGGTTCCCTGGCTTGTGACAAGAACCTCAGGCTGGGCAGTGTCAGAGAGCAAGACAGGATCCTCTGTTTTTTGATGGAAGACACTCAAGCTTAGGCAGGGTCTGCATCTGAGGCAGCTCAGGGACTAGGGGGAGAGGTGAGAGATCCCCAGGGGATGGACCCATCAGCAGCTGGACTTCTGGCCTGAGGAGAGGCCACAGCAGGCCTGGCGGGAGCAGGCAGGGCGGCAGAGCAGGGACACACTGGAGCAGGGCTTGCAGCAGCTGGGCTGGCAGGAGGAGGCACAGCAGGAGGAGGTGGGCACACAGCAGGCGGGTCTGCACACAGGCCGGCAAAGCAGGGACACGCTGGAGCAGGGCTTGCAGCAGACAGGCTTGCAGCAGACAGGCACACAGCAGGAAGACTGACAGCATGAGGGCTGGCAGCTAGACTGCTGGCAGCATGAGGAGGATCCAGAGCAGATGGGTGTGCAGCAGACAGGCTTGCAGCAGACAGGCACACAGCAGGGAGATTGACAGCATGAGGGCTGGCAGCTAGACTGCTGGCAGCATGAGGAGGATCCAGAACAGATGGGTGTGCAGCAGACAGGCTTGCAGCAGACAGGCACACAGCAGGACTGTTGGCAGGGGGAGCAGGTGCAGCAAGCTGGCTGGCAGCTAGACTGTTGGCAGCATGAGGGTGTGCAGCAGGCAGATTGGCAGCAGGGGCTGGACACACAGCTCACTGGGGTGCAGATGAGGGTCAGGCAGGAGGCTGGGGCACAGCAGCTGGGCACACAGCAGCTGGGCACACAGCAGCTGGACTGGCAGCAGCTGGGGGCACAGCAGGTAGGCTCACAGCAGCTCTCTGGGCAATCCTCTATCTGCCAGGAGGACTCAGTGCAGGGCTCAGAGCAGACAGACATGGTGGAGGTGGCCATGACTGATTGGAGGGCAGAGAGTGAGGTGAGAAGTTGTGAGTGAGTGAGGTGTGATGGCGGCGGGTGCCACTTATATATCTCTCAAGGGTGTGTGTGTGTGTGTGTGTGTGTGTGTGTGTGTGTGTTTGTGTTGTCCTAGCTACAGTTCCTTGTTGGTGTTGTGGTAGTTGGAAGGACACCCATCAATCAAGTGGCCATGACCTGTAGCTCCGCCCACAGAACTCTGCCCAGCTAGAGCGGAAAGGTCTGGTAGAGCTGCATGGGGCAGGGCAGAGGCGGGTGTTGCTTCCTCTCCAGGGAAGGTCAGTTCCCTGTTATCTGCCATGGCCATCTCTTGAGGCCCCTTGCTCTGGCTCCCTGCTTCAGCCTTCGGTTGACTCATCAGCATATTTTAACCTTATTTTATACCTGCTTTATTTGGGGATGATGGTCCAAGAGCTGTGTTTATTTTCTTCATCAGCAATACTAGTAGAAATAGTTCTTGCTTTAAGCTGGGAATTATTCCAAGTTAGTCTATAAATATCAACTCACTAAGCCCTGTGACCTTGAAAGGGAGACGATTTCATTATTCCTAGCTGGGGAGACTGGGACACAAATAAGAGCTTACAGAAGAGCCTGGGTCAGGCAGCTGAGACACCTGGACACGGACACCCCCATCCTGTGTTCGGATCTGTCATTCTGCTCCCAAGATAAAACAGACTAGAAAGGTAGCCTGTCCATCAGTCTCTGCCAGAGAAGCGGAGGTGGTTCAGGACACCCATCACTCAGATGGACATGACCTCTAGTCCTGCCCAGAGAACTCTGGGCAGCTAGAACTGAAAGACCCGGTAGAGCTGCTTGAGGCAGGGCAGGGAAATTGTCATTTGTTCTCCCAGGACTAAGCATTGGGGGCCAGGATGATGTGAAGGTGATGTAGCAGGGGCTTCAGGAGTTTGCTCTGAAAAAAAAAAATGGCTACAGCAAGAGAACCCAGGGGCTGGAGAGATGGCTCAGAGGTTAAGAGCACTGACTACTCTCCCAGAGGTCCTGAGTTCAATTCCCAGCAACCATATGGTGGCTTACAACCATCTGTAGTGAGTTCTGATGCCCTCTTCTGGTGTACAGGTGTACATGCAGACAGAGCACTTGTATACACACAAAATAAATAAATAAATCTTTAAAAAATTAAAAAGAAGAAGAAGAAGAAGAAGAAAAAAAGAGGACATGGTTTGACTGACAGGCAGAAAGGGGAAGGATATTGCTGAGAAGGGATGAAGGGATGTTGGAGTTTGGCTGTGTTCTCAGATGCAGGAGGCTTTCTGCTGAAAACTGAGCCGTGTTTAAGATACCTTACAACCTTCTTGTTTGTGACACTGGGTCCATGGATGGTCAAGCTAGGAGGGGGCTGGGACCTGCCTGAGAACTTGAAGAAGACCCAGTGTTATGGCTTGAATGTGAAATGTTCTCCAAGGCTCATGGTTTGAACTTAGTCCTCATCTGGGAGTGCTATTTCGGAAGGTTGTGGAACATTTTGAACACAAAGACAAGACTATAAAGGCAGAGCTTGACGGTTCCAGGCTGGCTCTGGTTGCTGCCAAGCTCTGCTTCCTGATGTGCCATGGTAGAGCAAGCTGTGCCATAATCCCCATCCCTATCACAGATGGGCCCCAGGTACTGCACCTTCCCAGTACCTTTCTGGTCCAATAGAGGTACATTGTTTTGTTTTTGTTTTTTGTTTTGTTTTGTTTTGCTGTGAGCCCGTCAACTCCCCTGCCCCCATGCTGCCAAGTTGCCTTTTGGGGAGTTTTCAACAGCAACAATGCATGTAAGAGAAAATTGGTACCAGGAGTGGGGCTGTTGCTATGATAAATCTGACCATGTGACTCTTTGGTCTTTGGAAATGGTTGGGGGGGGGAGGAATGTGGAAGAATTTGGAGCTGTAGACTAGAGAAGTTCTAGGGTGCTCTAAGTGGGACTCAAAGCGATATTCTATTGGGAGTTCAGAAGACCAGGAAGCTGAGAGAGATGCTCTAGTGAAGATCCTGCCTGTGAGGCTTTGGATGGAAGCAAGGTCTAGAGACCACTCTGATAAGGAATCTGGCTATGTTTTACTTGTGTCCTGAGAATGTGAGTGAAGCTGACTTTAAATACAGTTGACTAATTGTTTGGCAGAAGTAATTTAGAGACACATAACGTTCAGGCTGTGGCATGGCTGTTGCTGGCTGCCTTTAGCCAGGTTTTCCAGACACTGTAAAAAGGTGACATTTGGACAAGAAGGAGTGTAGGTGTAGTTAACATTTTTAGATGGGGTGAGCATAGACACACAGACAAAGCAGCTTTAACTGTAGAAGGGATTAGCACAACGGAAGGAAAATCAAGTAATTTTTCCACTGGAATAATGAGGAAGGAGCCTTGAAGATATGACCCCAATCAATGAAATCACCAAGGTGTAAAATGCAAACTTGGGCTAAAGAGATGGTTCAGAAGTTAAGAGCACTAGCTGCCCTTACAGAGGACCTGGGTTTGATTCCCAGCACACCTATGGCAGCTCACAACCATCTGTACCTCCAATCCCAGATTGTCCAACACTTCTGGCCTCCATAGGCAGCAGACACGCACATAGTATACAGACATGCATGCAGGCAAAACGCCCAGAGACATAAGAAAAAATAAATAAAATGTGTAAAAAAATGCAAACTCATTTGAAAAACTTTCACCTAAAAAGAGCGTGCTTATGTAAAGCACCTGGTTTTGGAGACGCAAGAGCAAGATGCAAGAGTGAGGAGGTCATTAAAACATGCACCCAGGTTCTAGAGAAAAAAAACCTGTTAGGCCAAGCAATATGTAGCAGGGTTGCCATAAGCATTCTGTGCATGAAGCTGCAAAGGTGAAGCCTTAGTTACCGTGGAGACCTCAGGATGGTGGAGAAGCCAGGAACATGGAATGTGTGCTAAGGAGAGCTTTCAGACACAGGGTGGAGCTGACCTGAGAGAGAGAGGCTGTGTGTGCTGCAGGCATCAGAGCTAGCGGGCAGGATTGGCAAGCTTGTGGGAGCCCAGATGATGTCATCACGAGCCCAAGATGCCGGATATGGAGCTGTGGTGTTTAATATGTGCTCTGCTGGTGTTCAGTCTTATGGTGTGATCTTTCCTTGTCATCCTCCCCTTTTGCAATGCGAATGCTTGCTTGTGTCTCTGTGTACTATAAACATATGATTTATTTATTTATGTACATGGGTTTTTTTTAGTGCTCACAGCTAGGAGCTGCCTTGAGTCAGAGGAGACCTAAATAACACCTCTGAATCATGTTAGAACTGTTAAGATTATGGAGACCCTTAGAGACGGACCGAATACATTTTGGTTTATATGATGGCAATAAGTATATGGGGTAGAGTGTTATGGTTTGAATGTGAATTATTCCTACAGGTATAGACGTTTGAACACTGGGTTCCAACTTGATGAGGCTTGGATGCTCAGACACTCTTGATGGGTGAGGACTCTAGTCAAATATCTTTCTAAAAGGAGGGCTGTGGGGCCAAGGCCATATGGCACCTCCAGAGCCAAAGGCAGCCCCTGTATCTGTGCTAGGGAAGAGAGCAAGACCCTTTAAGAAACTTTAGGGGGCTCTGGGATGTGGCTGTTGGTTCATACAGTAGCTGTGTCTCTTTTGAGGAACCTGCACAGTGTGCCCTGTGTCTGCCCTACCCTCCATCCCGCCAGGAACACAGAGGGTTCCAAACTCCCCACACCTGCTGGCAGTTACCCACCCTTTTTAAACATTGCTACCAACCCACAAAGTGGGACAAAGCAGATCTGACTGTGATAGCTTTTCTTTAATGGGCGTTGGCCATTCGTGTGTCTTCCCTGGAGAAATGAGCGTCCAGTCTTCGGCCTGCCTGGTGCTGGTGTGTCCTTGTGTCGTAGGAATTCTTTCCATGGTCTAGTTATTCACTTTATCAGATGTGCCACTTGTCAGTGTGTCCCCTCCTGTAGGCTTTCTGGTCACACCCTCCGATCTCTCTCGTGCGGTCTGTCTGCCTTTCTCTGTCTCCCTCACTCTTTCATCCTTCCATCCCTCTCTTCATCCACACTTCTGATGGATGGCGCTGTCTTCTGAGGGCCCAACACAGCACTTAGTCACAGGCTCTTCCACTGGCCTTGCTCCCCAGCCCTTGGAGGTTAATATCCTTTGATTAAATGAAGTTTTTGTTGTTGCTGCTGCTGTTGATGAACTCCTATTAACTTATTTATGATTTTTATATAATATTTGAGAGCCCATTGCAAACACAAGGCTGTAAAGATGTAGCCTACATTTTCTGAGATGTGTATGGTTTCAGCCATCAAAACTAAGATATTACTATATTGTTAGCTGGGTTTTGAATACAAGGTGAGGTGGAGACTCAACTCCAGTCCTTTTTTGAAGGCACGTGGTTCTTCCCATGGAATGGCCTCAGCCCGCTTGTTAGGAATCATTGACTAGTGCATATGTGTTCACTTGTGGATTCTGGTTGCCGTTCTGTTGGTCCCTATGGGGCATGGCAGCATCCCACTCTTTATAGGACCAATCAATCAGTCTCTCTCTCCCTTCCCCATTTACCTCTCCTTATTCCCCCTCCCTCCCAACCAGGTTTATGGGTGTTTTGCTTGTATGTATGTCTGTGCACTGGTATCTGGGGTCTGGGGAGGCTGGAAGAAGGTATCAGATCCCCTGGTATTGGAGTTATAAATAGTTGTGAGCTGCCATGCAGGTGCTGGGAATTGAACTCAGGTCCTCTGGAAGAACAGCAAGTGTTCTTAACTGCTGAGCCATCTCTCCAGCCCCTTCCTGTTTTTTCCCATGCCAGAAGCCTTCCCCATGGGTGGTTGAGGGTGGGGTGGCCTTGGCTGTTGGGATTCTCTTTTTCAACATGTGGCATCTGTGTCCACTAGAGCCGAGGGGCAGCCTCTTGGAATTCCTGGATTGAGGTGGTCTGTCCAATAGTCAGCTTCACTGTGGAGTAAGAGCAGGAGGAGGGGCCAGGA